GTAGTAACAGCTAGCTAAGAATAGAAAGGTATTTAAAAAACTATTTGTTCACTATTGTACTATCTGTTTAACAGTTTAGAGGCTTAGTAATTTTCATAAAGTTATAAAGATCACTTATCACTTAATAGCTATAAATAATATAGTTATTATTTAGTTAATAAATATAGGCTAGGCTTTATTTGTATGAACATTATAAGTATATTTGCGTCTGATCTATAGAAGCATTGTCAGGATAAAACCTGTAAAAACTTCAAGTTTATATAAAAAAATTAATATTACATAATTTAAAGAGCATTATATGATTAAAATCTTTGATAAATCTGATCGCTTAATGGTTTTAGTTTTACAATTAGATCCAAATTTAGAAATTGATTAAATAATTCAATCAAATCTAGATTTATTGCTAATTAAAAGCCAATATTGGTGAGTAATACTAAAAATTCTTGAATTATTTAATAAATTAGGGTAGGTTCGAAATCTGTAATAAAGTAAATTTTAATATAAATAAAATGAAGTAATACATCACTGCCAAAGAATACGAAATTAATTTTTCACATTTTTATAGTAAAAAAAAATGGTTAATGATAATGAAGATATTGTTTCTCATTCTTCAAGCTCTGATAAAAAACTTAAAAAACAAAAATTGTCTAATACATACACATCTAGCTTAGACTTATCTCAAACTGAATTTGATAATCTATCTGATAGTAATAACAATAATACATCCGATGAGTACTATAACTTGGCTAATAGCGATAATGATACTATAACTGATACAGATAATAATCTGATCAATGAAGAATCTTCAATCTTACCAAATGAACCTAATAATATATCAAATTTACCAAATCTAAAAAAATTAAAATTAGTTCCTATTGTCAAACATTCAGGACGAAGTTGGATTTGGTCATATTATCAGCGCTATGAACCTGTGCCACCTTATAGAACTATTGTAAGTTGTCTAGTTAAAGTAAATAAAAATCATAAAAGTGAATTATGCAGACATGTTATGGGGTCAGTAGATAGTTCAACAGGAAATTATATTAGGCACTTAGCAATGTGGCATAGTATTACTGAAAGTTCTCATAAAGAAAAAAACAAAAAAACCACTATCTTTACAACTTCAGATTGACCAAATGATTTATAACAATCCTAAACATAAGCTACGAAAAGATCAAAAATTTGTTGAACTTTTAATTAAAGATTAGCAACCAATAAGTATTCGAAATGATGAAGGCCTCAAAGATTTTATTGCAGAATTTGATCCATCATACAAATTTCCAAGTGAAAGATATTGTCGACAATTGCTTGCTGAAGCATACGAGAATACTAAGCAATCTTTATTAAGTATATTTGAAGAAAATATTATATTATGCTCTTTAACCTGTGATTTATGGACTGGACGCAATAGATTAGGGTATCTGGGTGTTACTTGTTCTTATCTTGATAATAATTATCAATTGCAAGAAAATATACTTTCAATTCAATATCTTCCTTATCTACATGTTGGTGAGATTATTGCTAAAACTCTAAACTGCATTATCAATAAATGGAATCTTGATGATAAAGTATTTACAATTACTACTGATAATGGTAGTAATATTATTAAAGCATTAAATTTAATGCCTAATATTATACGTATACTATGTACAGCTCATACTCTTCAGTTAGTTGTCGGGAAAGGCCTTTTAGAGGTAGAAAAATTAGTTATACGAGCAAAAAGACTTATGCTATATTTTACTTCCTCTAAACAAACTCAGCAGCTTTTAGAAGCCCAGAAAAAATTTAAGTGTAATGAAAATATCGTAAGTATAATATTTATTTATATAAGCTATTAAACTTTTATTAAATTTAATAATATTTTTTTAAATAGAATCTTTCTCAAAATGATCATGAATTACGTATAATCACTAATACACCAACAAGATAGAATTCCTCCTATCTTGCTTGGCAACGATTAATTAAAATTCAAAATATAATTAATCTTTTAATTACAACACTTTCCTTAGATGAAGATTATCAAATGCGTAAAGAAGGTGCAAAATTAAAAAAAATTAACCTTACTGATACTGAATGGGAAGCTATAAAAAGTCTTGTTACAATTCTTGAACCATTCGCTGAGGCAACTGATCTTTTAGGAGGTAGTAAATATACAACAGTAAGCTTTATGTACAGTGCAATTAATGCAATTACTAATAACCTTATATTTACTAATAATATTGAACTACGGGAAGTAAATTATAATGATGATAACATTGTTTTTGATGATACTAATCTAAATGAAGATCAAACCGATAATATTGAATCTATAAATCTTCAAAAACAATTAAATATTCCTCAAGATTGTACAAATTTCAAAGAAAGAGTAAAAATAGCTCTATACAATGCTATAAACTATTATTGGGAAGTACTATTAGAAGAAGGAATGTTAGCTGCATTACTCGATCCTCGATGTAAAGCATTAAGTTTTACTTCAGAATCTTCAAAATCCAGAACTTATGATTCATTGCGTAAAGTATATCAACAACATCAAAACCAAGTAAATATATCATCTATTAAACGACCATTACCATCTACAAGTAGATTATTAGCATCTATGTTTCAATCAAATAATGCTCAAGTAGATAAAATCTCTGATTATATTGGAATACCAGAAATTTCCTATGACCAATGCCCCTTCGAATGGTGGAAAAGTAATCAAAATCGGTTTCCAGTTTTATCTTATTTGGCACAAAAGTACTTAGCTATTTTAGCTGCTTCTACACCTAGTGAGAGGCTCTTTAGTGATGCTGGAAACATAATGTCTGTTAAAAGGACAAATCTTTTACCTGTTACATTTGAGCATTTGATTTTTTTAAAAAAAAATTATCATAGTGTTGATAATATTTTTCCAAATAAGTCAAATAAGTAAAATTCAATCATATTAATAATTTTAGAAATTTATATATAAGCTACATATTAACTTTAAAATAGTTATTTTTTTATCATTATACATAGGCAATTATCAATTTTTTTCTATATCATTATATATTAATAAAATATATAGATTTAGTGGTTAGTATACATTATATAAAGGTATTACATTAAGACTACAATATTAATATATATTACTATAATATTAGTAATTAACTATATAAAAAATTTATTAGATAACATAACCCTTAATATCTATAAAGATAAATAATAGCAGTAGAACAGATCTAAGCACTAATGCCCCAATACAGCAGTAAAAGTCCTCAACGGTTAGTATTTATTTAAAGTAAAAGTGAAGAAATAAATTTTTCTTCATATTTATATACTAATTTTGACTACTTATATAATATTTGACTCATTGTATTTACACTATTAGTTATATATCTACATCTATTATTTTCTGATTTATCCTGAATAACTAATTGTGACTATAATATGAAATTACAAAACCCTCAAGCTTGACATATATACTAATGCTAAATAATAAGTATTATTGCATATATTATATATTTATATTACTAACTCTTTTCTTTAATCTAGGTATTTATTCAATTATTACACATATAGTATATCTAAGTACAAACCTCCACCACAGAACTAATATTAACTATAATACTAAATAGCAAAAATTAAATAGATAAGTTAATTTATTTAGATAAATATGTTTTTTTATTAGTTTCGTAAACAAATACTTATATGTTATAGCTCAATTATATATTGTAAGAATCACTAAAGCAAGGTTGGTCTTATAATGTTGTGGCTTAAAGGCTAAAATAGTGCAAAATATTACTTAATCAATGCTATAACACTAAATAAACAAATCACTTATTATATGATATAGAATTGCTACTCAATAGCTAAATTAATGTGAAAGCTAGCATAGACATTATTAGCATTTAAACTGAAAACATAATTTTACAATATAAATATGATTTTGCTATTGATACTATTTAATTAATATTTACTCCATGACTAAACTTGTTTATTTATACTAGTTATTGCATATTAGCAAGACCTATTCTTAATATTTTTGATCGAGTAATAATTGGTATCAAAATCAGATAACCTAATTCTAGTAACATCTTTATATACTTTGTATTTTTGAAAACATAATGTTCTATTAAGAAAAAATTACTGTTAAAGCCATTTCTAGCTTCAATAATTATTGTGCGAAAGAATCTCTTATTTCTTATCAACTTTGCTTAAAAGATATATACTTTATTATCTCTTATATATTATTTATATGATTATGATGTATAGTCATGCTATAATACATAAATATTTAGTGTAATTTAATCTTAAAGAAGCACTTTATTAATAATAGTCTTATTACTTACTTATAATAGCATTTTTATTATATAGATAAATGATAAAGATATATAGTTGAGCTAAAAAATGTTAAATAATGTTGACTTTTATTAAACTTAATCCAATTCAAAAATTAATACTGTCAAATTGTAAAGCAATTTCTCCTAATGAATAATCTCCATGAGTATGAGAAGCATCTAGACTATCAGATTCAGACACTATGCAAATGGCTAAATATGCTAAAAATTTGGTTAATTTTTCTTCTGGCAATGTTAAAGCTCAATATAAGTCGGAGTCTGGTGTTCGCTACGAAACTAATGCTGTTGTCAAGTATAGTGCTCATTCCTTTACATTCAAAAAAGGTAAGTAATTAACAGAATATGAAAAAGTGAATTAATAAAAAAAGTTTTTTGATAAAGATTATAGTTTAGATAAGGTTAGTGCACAATATCACTTTCAATAAACTAATAGAACCATAGCTTTTAACGTTATTTTTCAAAGAGAAAGAATATTAAAGACTATTATTATTATCAATATATTACTGTCGCTATGATATCTAATAAATATCCAACATGATTATAATTCATAACCAAATTTTGGGTTTACAAAATAAATTTACTAATAATTATTATGTAGTATATATTTGTACACATTTTACATATCTGCCATGGATTATGTCCTCGGTTTAGCTCAAAGCAAGAATACGAAGAATGAAGCACTCACATCGAACACATATTGTGCAAAGATTTGTCAGTTGTATTAGGTGATAAACCACGAATATAAATATTGGTGGTTTTTATTGAATTATTAAAATTGGGAAGGTTAGGTATCTGATAGGAACCGAAATTTCTTCGATTGTAATTATAGTGAGGGGGGCGATTAACACTGCTATGGCCATTGCCATTCAAAGGGCTAGCTTTAGGTGAAGGGACACCAGGACCAGGTAAATATTGTGGGGTGGAGAATTAGAAGCAGATGAAGAAGATTGTGAAAGTGTAAGTGAGAGCGTATAAAGTACACCATAAGGAGATTGTGGTGAATACAGGTACGGATGCATGGGAGGTGAAAGTAATAATTGGCCAATAGTCATGCATTGATTTGCTGATCATATAAACATATTTTATCCAGATATAACCGTTATCCTATTATTTCAATAGGGTATAAAACTGGTTATTAGCTTTTACTATAGGTTATAACCTTTCGGGTAAAAAGGTTATCCGGGTACGATCACTAGACTGATAGAGTTTGTATTAGCTAGATTTGTATTAAAAATTGGTTTTATAAAAATAGGGTAGATTCAGCCTTCTTTTTACTATTTAGAAATTGTTTGAATAGTAAGATATCTGTTTAGGATTGCAGTTATAACTTTTAAAAAAGTTAGGCCTAAGTGTTTGAGCATTTTATAGCTTATTTCAGAGGGTTTGCAAGCTTTATTATTGGGTAGTTGATAGAAAGTAGAGAGAACTTCTTTCTGGACTATAGTAAGAAGTACTTCTTAGTACTAGTCTTGATAAATATAAGATTGAGAGCTGTATTACACTTGCCACTTTGTGTTAAATAAGGTCTCATTAATTAGATAAGTGGCAATCTAGCTATTAAAATGTTGCAAGATATATAATTTAATAGTAGTAGAGTTTGTAATGATATCTTGATTAAGTTTAATAGTATTAAACTTGATGGAGTCTTTGTGCTAATTCAGAATACTGATAAATATTGAGGTTGAATTAGTTTGGAGCTTGGTGCATCTTTTGGAAATTGCTTCTATAATTTGATAATGTATTTGCTTTATATTTTCTAAGTTGTATAAGTAATATAGCTTCTTTTATTCTATATTGACTTTGATTGTCTAGTTAGTATTAGTTATAATAGAAGGTATCTCTAGGTCATGTAGTTTGTTGAGATCTATTATTGTATTATTTAGATGAGCTAAGATTTGTTGGTTGGTCTTGGTTTAATGTTTTACAACTTTAATTATATTTTTAAGCTTCTTAAAGCTATAATAAAGCTAGGTAGCTTTTGGTGAGAATGTGTGATGAAAGTTACAGACTGTAAACTTTTTGTTGGAAATATGCTAGAGTGCTGCTATAATAAAGCTAGTCTAGATTTTGTGCTATGTAGTCTCTAAAAACTCTGATATTGTAGATATAAGAGGGGTGTATTGTAGTGCTGCAGGTTTGCACTAACTTGGTTTGTGAAGTTATCACAATTTTCTATATTTATTGCTTTATACTCAAAGACTTTTCTTAAGATATAGGTTTTATGCATTTATTGTCTAGTAGTCACATAGAAAAAAAGCCAGTGTGAGATTAAGATTTTGTGATCACTTAGAGTACTAGTGTTGGAATTATCTGTGTTATATTCTATAAGATATTGGAGTATTGATTAATATACCTAAATAAAATCAATTTTGTTACTCAAATTGGCTCTGTACCATATATATGTGAACTTGTAAGAGTGTGTAGCTAAGTTATACATATTTTTGAAAGCAAGAAATTAAAGAAGTTTGTATTTGATTGATTGGGAGTGGATATTGTTAATAGATGCATTGAATTCTTCTAGAGTTATTGGGAGGATATTAAGTGCTTTGCTTGTTGTAGCTACTAGATTATAGTGTTTTGGGTTTGTAGTCAAAGATATGCATCATTGCTAAAGAGGTAAAGAGAGATAATTTAGAATATGAAATTATGCTTAAAGAAGAGGTCAATGGCTATGGCATATCCAGATACTGTATTGATATTGTAAATATGTGAGATAAAAATGTTGCAAACTATAATTGCTATTCTAGTTTTTAAGCTATCTGTATATAACTAGAAATAAGTAAAATATTGGGTTTTGAGATACTTTTGGGGTGTTGTTTTGCTAGACAGTTTGGTTTTTGTGATGCAGATTATATCTAGAGCTTGTTGTAGACAGTACTGTTTTTATATTTCTTTTTTGATATTTGTATTAAAGCCTTGTATATTGTTTATACAGATTGAGAGAATTAGTGGGTATAGGTTGAGAAGTACTAGATTAAAAGATATTAAAATTTTGTATATTGTATGTAGAGAGGTTGGAAAAGAAAGAGTTAGTGGTGTGGTGCAGAGAGCTACTCATTGAAGTGTTCATTTATGTCTATTGGTGTTGAATTGTTCAATGGAAAAGTGTTGTTAATTGTAAGTAAAGTATTCTCTATTATTACTATTGCTACTATAGTAGTTGATATTTCTTTGGATATTGTAGCAGGTATTGTATCATTTATAATAGGGTAGTGCTAGCAAAGAATTGAACTGTGCTAGGAGTAGTTAGGTGTAGAGATATAGAGACTTGTTAAATATACTCTAGCTAGGATTAAGAAGTGGAGAAAAATCTAATAAAGTGTCAGAGATTTTTTTTAACTGTGCAGAACTGCCTAAAGATTTTTATAGTAGAAGTAATATCTGGTTGTTTTTGAATTAGAAGTAAGAATAATTTTATATTTGGAAAGAGTATTGATAATTTCATTAATATTATCTAGAATAGTAGAAAGAGGTTATTTAGTAGTTATACTAATATTATAAGTTGAAGTAGTAGTGTTGTCTTAAATTTGAATCTATTCAAAGAGAAGCTAAGTGAAATAGTAATACTTGTAAAAGAGTTTAGCTATAGTTGTAAGTTGCTATATAGTTGTAATGACAAGTAAAATATTAAGATATTTGGTAACTTCTACTGCTACTAGCAAGAGATATTTTTTTAGTTAGGTTGGCTTGCAAGATTTTAGTTAGATTTGGGAAGGGCACTTAGTAGTGGAGAGAAACTTTTTTGATAAACTCTCTAGCCTCAGCATTGTCAGTAATAAAGTAAGTAAAGAAAAAGGTTGTTTTAATCTTGCTTGTGTCTGTTGGGAGGGGGCTTGTAGTGAAAAAGTTATTGAGAAGTAGTTTAAAAGTATAGTATTCTCTTAGCTAGAAACAACCTTAGCAATTAGAACAATAGAGATAGCTTAGTTGAAGAAAAAAAATTTTTGGACTTTGTAGTTAAGCTTTTGATAGATCATAGGTAATAGTTTTTTTAGAGGTGGTAGATCAAAGTATGATCAGAAATCTTGATAACAGTATATTAGTTTGCAAGTTTTCTTTTGTATATAGCAAGGTATTGGAGAGAGGATTGATAAGAATTTGGAAATAGCTGGCATAAACTGGCTAGAAGTTCATTGTAGCAGAGAGGGAGTGAAGAAAGCTTTCCAATATATATCTCTGGGAGTTTAGAAAATTTAAAAATTCTTCTTAAAGCATTAACAATTGCTCTAGTTTGAGATTGTTGTATAATAGAGAGTTTGAATAGCAGAATTTCTAGAATTTTATTAAAGATTTGTTTGAGTATATCAGATAAAAAGATAAGCTTGTTTTCAAAAGCTCTGTTGATTTGAGCTCAGATTTCCTTGGAGGTTTTTTTGCTAGAGTTTTTAATTTGCAAGAACTCACTAGCATATATAATAGCTTTGTAGAAATTTTTATATATAGTTTTTAAAAAGTTAATATTGGAAAGATACTGAGAAATAAGCATTTTTCTAAGTATAAAGTAGATAGTGTTGTATGTGGTAATATTGGTAGGTGTAATCTTGTTCTCTGTTTTGTATGTTGTGAGTGTTGTATCAAAAAGGTTAGTATATTCCTTTTGGAATACAGAAGTAGTCTTGGGGTTATATATAAAAGTAGTAAAGAATCTGGTGTCTTGGTATATAAACTTGAAGGTGATTGCCTCTGGTAGCTTGTATTGTGTAAAGTTAGTAATAAGCTTGTAGCTGATAAAGTTGTAAATACTTTTGAGAGTTTTAAGAGCTTTTATAATTGTGTTGAATAACTAGAGATCTGTATTAAAGAGGGTATTAGAAGCTATATTGATTTTAAGATAAACTTCTGTGGCCTACTCCATGTTATTTTCTGGGGTATTGCAATAAAGAGTTTAAAGAAACTTTTGGCTACTTGGCTGTAGGATGGCTGGTCTTGTGGTTGTTCTTTTGCTTGCTTGCAATCTAGTAGAGATGAAGTGACTGCCTACAATAGTTTTGGTTGCTTTGTTAGAGATTGTAGTAGGTGGGGATATTTTGAACATATTTTTGGGTCTTTTTACAAATAGAACTAGAATCAAGTGCAGGATCCACAGAAGCAAGGCTGAGAGTAAATATGTAAGTATTGGTTAGGTAATTTGTTTAGTAGGTGTGCTAGATCTGGGTATAGTGGTTGTGATATTGCTACTACTGGAGTTGTTTATAAAGTTGGAATTGGCAGATTTATTTGTAGGTAGTACTGAGTTGGTGTTGTTGTTTCTTGTATTAGTATTTAGTAACCAAATCCTGTGAGAAATTGAGCTTTGTAAAATTGCTATGTAAGCTTGATTATTGTTGCTTCTGTTTGACTTATTATCTTAGTTTAATTTTGTAATACAGTTGTATAGTATTATGGATAAATCTGTATTATTTTTGGCTTTTATATAAAATCTTATATTGCTTTTGTATAAATTAAGTATTATTGCAAAGTTATAATATGAGTTGATTTGGGTGTTTGGCATTGATGTTTACAATATAGTTTTTCTGTATTGTAAGATTAAATAGAACTGATTAGTAGAGTATCTATAACTATATATCCACTAAGTTGAGTAATTAGTGAGATTAGAGATCTTTTTTGATTTGGTAATATTAACAAAGAAGACAAAAGAATTTGTATATTTCAGAATAGAAAAGCTAATAGTAAAAATAAATTTTAATCAGTCTTTAATAGTGATATTTAAAAATTTTTTTGTGTTCTATACTAGAGCTTGGTAGTAAGCCAGTAGTGTGTGTTTTTTTAGGTTGTATAGGTTTTGTAGGCCAAGAAAAATAATTAAAGATATAAGAAATTCTGTCAGAAGCCATGTTTTTAACAAGGTTTAAAGATTTGGTAAGATATAGAACTAGTTATTTCTCAATATTTTTTTTTTAGATACACTATTTGTAATTTGGTTTAGATTATTTAAAAGTTGGGTTCTTAGAGCTGCTTTTGTAATAGGGCTAAAAAACTGCTTTTTTGCTATTTTGAGTATTTATTACTAATAACTTGTAAGAATGAGATCTTTTAGCTAAAGTTGTAT